CTCTCTCTCTCTCTCTCTCTCTCTCTCTCTCTCTCTCTCTCTCTCTCTCTCTCTCTCTCTCTCTCTCTCTTGCATGCACGAAATGAGTGTTGCTTTGACAGAAAGGCAGTGAAAAAGCAAACCAGCCCCCGTTCACACTTTGGGCAATTTGGAAACGAAGGTGCAAGGTGACTCGCAGACAATAACCTTGGAGGAGGCATGGCCCCGGTCTTATCCAAACGCTGCAGGACGAATATCACTCAGACACTGGGCCAGATCCAGACAACAAATAAAAAAGACCCCAAGTCACCCAACTGCGAGGCAGGACATCACCAACAACTTCAGCAGGAGTGGAAAGTTAGGAACTGTAACAACAGGAAGAACGACAGGAATTCAGGGCGACATAAGACGCTGCTCAACGCGGATTGCCGCTCTCTGTATTTCTAGCCTGTACTGCCAATCTGACAGACTCTGTTTGAGGGATCTGAGAGGAAATTCAGAGAAAGGCTACCTGACAGCCCAGGCTGATCAGGGATTATTAGACCAGATGGAAGGGGGTGTGGTTGAGTCTTTGATGYAAGCCGGTTATATGWCTTGCTGGAAGGGRAAAAAAGGAARAAAAGGAAAAATKGTCTCAAAGAATTATAAGGATGYGGATATTGGATATYGARWGGGGGTTTAGGGTTTAGGGTTTTAGTGGTASCAGAAAAGGGGGGTGGGTAAGACGAGTTAGGGCTGATTAGGGCTCATGGATAGGATGGGTAAGGGGGAATAGGCTCGCTAGCTTGACAATGGGCATCCTCTTTCTTGATAAGATAGAACTATTCAATGCTCCGCAGGGGTCCTTCGGCCAGACGGAAGGAAGTGGGAGTGTGTCTCAATGTAACATATATTTTGACTTGCCGGTGGAATAGGAACCGGACTGACGCTCCCCAGAATAGAAGGAGCCAGGACCATAAAGCCCTGTTTTTTTAACAAAAAAAGAAAAAAAAAAAAAAAAAAAAGGAACTGTATCAACAAGCACGCTCAGACTCAACGGTGGGGATCCGCCTCAACGCGGCCGCCCAACTTGGACCTTTCAGACAATGTGCATTCGCAGCAAGACACACGTCTGCTGTCTCGGATATCCGTCGTCAGGCGGCATGACTAGGCGAACATGGCTTGCGGTCTGGCTCCAACTTTGCGTCAAGACTCAAGATACATAGGGAGCAGGCCTGCTAAGAGTTGGGGCGACGAGCGCGTCGGCGTCTCTCTAAGTGCACCAGTGCCACAAGCCGACAGGAGATCGATCGGATCAGTGTCCAAGGATATGACCTGAGCTGTGAGCACATAGACTACACTGAGCACGGGTGGGTGGCCTTGAACCCACCCCACGGGTGGTTTGAGACGTGTTCAAATTCGGAGGGGGCGCTGTGCAGGATAGGCAAACTGGCTGTCAATCCTCCAGATATCTGGAGTAACCACTACTGCTTAGAGGTCCCTTGGCCATATGGATGGAAGTGCGAGGGTGCTCTTGTCGGCAATTTGCCTTATGGCTGAAAGAATAGGTATAGGATAGGCAAGCTGACAGTCAATCATCCTCCAGACACCTGGAGTAATCAACGCTGCTTAGGGGTCCTTCGGCCATACGGAAGGAAGCGTGAGGGTGTTCTTATTGTACACCTGACTTGCCGGTGGAAAAGGAAGCGACTGACGCTCCCCAGAATGGATATGCAGTCAGGGCTATAAAGTCCTGGTTACCCCCCCTCAAGCTGCTAGGGAAGGTGGTATGCGAATCCCCCCCTAGCAGGCCTGGGTGTGGTCGCTCTGGTCTGTCGTTGTTGGGGAACTACACCTGCTGGAAACCGAATCCAGCATCCCAGCGTGCAATGGTGAGACCGGGGCCATTGCCCAGCTTCCGCTCAGCCCCGCCCTACCAGAGCGCTCTTTCCCTTAAAGCACCAGTACACCACACATAGGCCCGCGGGTGTCAGCATGAAACCCGCACCACTTCGGAGGCCGCCAATTTTTTTTTTCAACGGTGCAGAGGGCCCCGCGGCGCCTCCGAGTTTTGCTTGTGTTTCTGCAAGGCTGGGGGCGTGTACTAGCGGTTTAATCAAATCAAATTCAACCTAGCACTCCTCAATCTGCCCAGAATCTAGTCCAGGGGTCCTACTCCTAACGTTCAGCTCAGCCCCAGCACCTCCTGAGTAGGGGCCCCTCTTTCGCTTAATCAATCAATCTCACCCTAGCATTTCCTCAATCCGCCCAGAATATGAAAACAACAAAACAAAAAAACAAACTCAGCTTTTCTAAAGGATTGTTTTGGCAACATACCTTACCCTTCTCGTCCCTCTCAAACTTGATCGGCACTGAATTGGCGATCATTTTTGTCCCCTGGTGTTCCATGTAGCTCACGACATGCTCTGCTGCTTGCTGAAGCCTCAAAAGAAAAGGAGAAGGAAGGGATGGGTTTGGAGGGACCGAAACCAGTCAAAAGGGTTTGCGTCGGTCAGTATGGCTTTTTCTCCTCAGCTTTCTGAAAAAAAACACACCTTATATTTCCCTATTGTGAGGGTCATAAACCCAGTCTACCTCCTCCGGTAGGAAAAGGGAAGCGTCGGAATCCGACTTAATAGAACCCCTGTCTTTCTCCTACCTTCCAAGTTCTTTGCGCGATTGATTGCTATTTGTTTTCTAATTGTCGTAATCGATTCCTCTCCATCACCCCACATTCATTACAATTGCTAATTCCATAGGTCTCCTCCGGTAGGAAAAGGGAAGCGTCGGAATCAAACTTAATAGAACCCCTGTCTTTCTCCTACCTTCCAAGTTCTTTGCGCGATTGATTGCTATTTGTTTTCTATTGTCGTAATCGATTCCTCTCCATCACCCCACATTCATTACAATTGCTAATTCCATAGGTCAACCTTACTCAATTGGGTTGGGATGTGTCAGGCTATGATGGTAGGGGACAGTGGACCCAGTTTCCAACACTTTTTGATTGCCTCTACAATTCTTCTTATAGCCTATGCTTTTTCCTAAGGAACGCTGAGCCCGATTCTCAGCACGTGCTGCTCCCCACGAATAGATAGGAGCAAAAAAAAAAAAAAAAAAAAAAAAACTTACTCAATTGGTAAGGGGAAAGACTGTTTATGATGCAGATAATTCCTTTCTCTCTCTCCCCCATGTAGACAACCAGTACCCCGCCCAGTGCTTGATGCTGAGCCTAAATTTGCCCTGCGCGCCAAAAAAAAACGAACCGACGTGGGCCTGCTTTTGGCTGGCGCTGCCAGACACTTCTGTCCAGTACCTGAATCTGCGAAAAATGCAGCCATATACGGCCGGCGGCCGCATATTTATTTTTTCAAGCGGGGCGGGGTACTGGTGGTTTAAGGTTAACTTCAAGACTCTCAATTGCTGCGTGGGTAATTGTTTATGATCCCGGATTTGCTCGTTTGATCACACCTTTGTTCCCCCCTGGCTGAAGGCCACATCCTGTCAGATTAGGTGGATCTTTATAGAAGATTGAGTTACCTGGGCTGGTTAGTTCAATCAATTTCAAATTTCAATGATAATATGATATTAATATCTACATCTTTATAGAAGTTTTTTTTTTTTTTTTTTTTTTTTTGCTTCTCCTCTCACCGCACATATTTTAACTGGCGTTCTGCCATGTCATGGAACACATCTTTTTTCTTTCACGACCTACCACCACTCCTAACTTCCTAACTTCCTAAGGCTATACAGGGGATCCCTGCAAGCATAGCTTTCTACCTCTCTTTGGTGAAGGGAGGTAACGACATGGCCAAGGCTATACAGGGGACCCCTGCAAGCATAGCTTTCTACCTCTCTTCGGTGAAGGGAGGTAACGACATGTTTGCCAACTTTGCCCCTTTGCCCTAGCGTTTAGGGTGCAGGGTTGGGGCTACCAGTGGGGGGCCGGTTAACATAAGGACGGAGCATTTGCCAGTAACTGTGCTTCCCTTTTCATCTTACCCCACCCCCATTGGGTAACAGTAGTGTCTAAAGCCAACACTCTCCCACACACCACACACAACCCACTCACACATGCACTCACACCCATGTTGGCTGAAGACCTTACTAATACCGACTGGGAGGATCCAGCTGACTATCTCAGTTGGTTGGCACTGGGGGTGCCAACCTGGCCAGGTTAGTTCAATGATAATAAGAATCATTATAAGATTTAATACCTTAAGGCGGCCACCTTTTTTTTTTTTTTTTTTTTTTTTTCAAGACTATGCTTGACAAAGTGCACATGCTCAGAACCATTCAGGCTGAGATGGCCATACTGGTGGTTTAAACTTTAAGGGTTGCATATCTGCCGACCGTCAACCCCGGCAAGCGACCGTTTTGTAGCTGACCAGTCAGAAAACAACCATCCACTGATTTTTTTTCAAATCTGAGTTGGGGGCTGTACTGCGCTTGCTGAGTGCAGCCCAAATCCGCTGAGAAACTTT